TTCTTAGCACATTGTTGCCTGAATCTGAGTCAATTGAATGATTTACCCTTTATTCCAGTTCCAAAGCGGCAACCAATGTTGTACGTCCACGGTTGGTGGCTGAGTGCGTCTTGGCGCTGCTACCCTCTAAACGAAAGTAAGGCTTGGCCTAGCGGTACGCGTATTTTGGGGGCCTACAAAAACCTTGAATTTCATTCACAAACTTGTTCCATGTTAAAATAAACAGTAGGAATGTGGTATAATAATAATAATAATAATAATAATAATAATAATTTATTTCAGAAAAACGCTTTTAAAACAGCGGCACCCGTTACAATAATGGTGCATCCAAAGTAACAAAATGAAATGTACAAAGAAAGTCGCAAAACCAAACAAAGGAATATACAATAAAAAAGCATGAAGTAAAAAGTCTAACCAAACCATTAAGGCACTCATCACAATAATGGTGCTTCAAAATTAACAGAATAAAATACATAGTGAGATGCATATCAATAAAAGGAAGTACTGTACACACACACACACACACACAAATTAAATCACATAAAAATAATAATAATAATAATATCAATAATAATAATAATAATAATAATAATAATCATAACATAGCACCATTTTTAATCTCAATTCTTTTTGGCCATGCCTTCTTAATATAAGATTTACAAAAATCATCAAAAATCAAATGAGCCAAGTCAATTAAGTGATTGGGTAGATTAGGAATAATAGGAATAGTGACGCATATGCAGCATCGATCATTTGGTAGTAACACCACATAGGATGGACGAGATAATTAAGGGTCTTCGCTTTATAGACACCCTATATGGGTGTCTACAAAACGAAGACCGAAGACCCGAAAAACGAAGACCAACATTTTTTTTCTCCCAATCGTGATAAAATAATGAAATATGTACTTGGCAACTGTTTTATGATGATTTTGAAATACTTTCAATAAGATAATTTAGAAATAATTGGAGGTTTTCGTTTTTCGGGTCTTCGGTCTTCGTTTTGTAGACACCCATATAGGGTGTCTATAAAACGAAGACCCTTGAAAATTTTACAAACAGACGCCCAAAAAAGTTCGTAATTTTGATTTTGTGACAGCCTGGCGTATTATCATCAAAATGAAAGAGAAAAAATAGGGGTCTTCGTTTTTGGGTCTTCGGTCTTCGTTTTATAGACACCCGACTGACAAATACGGTTAAGTATAAATTAGAGCACTGACATTGCTTATAAAGGTTAGTTTTCCCAATATGCTCTGCATTAGTGTAATAACAATGGTATTTAATCTTCACGTTCACAGGAAGTTAAATTTTCACAGGCAATTGAGTTTCACCTATTGCATATTATCTAACCATTCACTTCCGAAAAATATACTTCTGTTAAATCATTCGGTGAACTTCTATAGATCCAACGATGTGCAATCGGAAGGATGTGGCTCTGATGGAGGAAGCACTACGATGTGTTGTGAAATTCAAATACCATTCAGTAGACATTTTAACATGTAAAAACACCACTAAAGAGACAGCGATAAACTGATGTTATTAGGTACGTCTATTCCTATCACACGAGCATACTGCTCAGGCACTTGATATAGGCCTAGGCGGATACAGCGCCGAAAAATTAAAAAAGAGGAAGAATAAAATTGAAAAGGAAGAGGAAAACATGGAAGTGAACCCATGACATTACCAACTTACCAACTGTTTTTTGTTTTTTTTTGTATTTTTTTTTTAATTTATAAAATGTCAAAAAATCTTTTAATACTCGTTTTTCATTGTTCTTTT